CCCCTTGTTTTAAAGGGGGAGGTCTCCCTTGTGGCCACGCCCACCTGATCTTAAAGGGGCCGCAGGTCAGTTTTAGGGTGGACACGCCCCTTGGAGTGACCACGCCCACTTTTAAAGGGGCCACACCCACTCTTAAAGGAGCCACGTTTATTCTTAAAGGGGCCACGCCCACTTTTAAAGGGGCCACGCCCACTCTTAAAGGAGCCCTGATTATTCTTAAAGGGGCCACGCCCACTTTTAAAGGGGACACGCCCACTCTTAAAGAAGCCCTGATTATTCTTAAAGGGGCCACGCCCACTTTTAAAGGGGCCACGCCCACTCTTAGAGGCAAATCCATTCTAAAGTGGCCACACCCACTTTTAAAGAGACCACGCCCACTTTTAAATGGGCCACACCCACTCTTAAAGGGACAGCACCCACTCTTAAAGAGACCACACCCACTTAGTGACCACACCCACTCTTAAAGGGGCCACGCCCACTTTTAAAGTGACCACACCCACTCTTAAAGGGGCCCACCCACTTTTAAAGTGACCACACCCACTCTTAAAGGAGCCACGTCCATTCTTAAAGTGGCCACACCCACTTTTAAAGTGACCACGCTCACTCTTAAATGAACCACGTCCATTCTTAGTGGCCACACCCACTTTTAAAGTGACCACGCCCACTCTTAAAGAGACCACACCGACTTTTTAAGGGGCCACACCCACTCTTAAAGGGACAATACCCACTCTTAAAGAGACCACGCCCACTCTTAAAGGGACAGTGCCCACTCTTAAAGGGTCTGCGCACTCTTAAAGTAGCCACGCCCACTCTTAAAGTAGCCACGCCCACTCTTAAAGGGACCATGCCCACTCTTGAAGCTACCACGCCCACTCTTAAAGAGACCACGCCCACTCTTAAATGGATCACACCCACTTAAAGTGACCACACCCACTTAAAGTGACCACGCCCACTCTTAAAGGGGCCACATCCACTCTTAAAGGAGCCACGCCCACTACAAAAGGGACCACGCCCACTCTTAAAGGGGCCACGCCCAGTCTAAAAGGGACCACACCCACTCTTAAAGGGACCACACCCACTTAAAGTGAACACACCCACTCTTAAAGGGGCCACGCCCAGTCTTAAAGTGACCACACCTACTCTTAAAGGGGCCACGTCCACTCTTAAAGGGACCACACCCACTCTTAAAGTGGCCACGCCCAGTCTAAAAGGGACCACACCCACTCTTAAAGGGACCACGAACTTTTAAAATGACCACACCCACTCTTAAAGGGACAGTGCGCATTTTTAAGTGGCCACACCCACTCTTAAAGTGGCCACGCCCACTCTTAAAGGGACCACGCCCAGTTAAAGGGGCCAGACCCACTTAAAGCGACCACTCCCATTTAAGCCACGCCCCCCGGGTTTTTGCGGCCACGCCCCCCGGGGGCCAGGCCCCGCCCACCTTGTTGATCTCGGCCTGCACCTCGCGCAGCTTGCGCTTGTAGCGCTGCACGTCGCCCTTCAGCTGGTGGTTGTGGTTCTGCAGGGAGCTGATCAGGTGCCGCATCTCGCGGTTAATGGGGCCTGCAGGTGGGACCCGACAGGTGAGGGACAGGTGAGGGACGGGTGGGGCAAAGAAACCCCGAAAAAACGGCAAAAAACCCCGAGATTTTAGCCCAAAAATGGAATAAATTGGGGTAATTTCACTGCAAACCTCCTGAAGGATTCTCCTGGGACAGGTGAGGCAGTGGAGGGACAGGTGAGGGATGGGTGGGGCAAAGAAACCCCGAAAAAATGGCAAAAATCCCCGAGATTTTAGCCCAAAAATGGAATAAATCGGGGTCATTTCACTGCAAAGCTCCTGAAGGGTTCACCTGGGACAGGTGAGGCAGGGGAGGGACAGGTGAGGCAAGGAAATCCTGAAAAAACCGAAAAAAACCCCGAAATTTTAGCCCAAAAATGGAATAAATTGGGGTCATTTCACTGCAAACCTCCTGGAGGGTTCACCTGGGACAGGTGAGACAGGGGAGAGACAGGTGAGAGACAGGTGAGACAGGTGAGGCAAGGAAATCCCGAAAAAACGGAAAACAACCCCAGAATTTTATCCCAAAAATGGAATAAATTGGGGTCATTTCACTGCAAACCTTGTGACGGGTGAGACAGGTGAGGAAAAAAAACCCAAAAAACTGTCAAAAAACCCCAAAATTTTATCCCAAAAATTGAATAAATTTGGGATAATTCATTCCAAACCTCCTGGAGGATTCACCTGGGACAGGTGAGACAGGGGAGGGACAGGTGAGGAAAAAAACCCCAAAAAACGGCAAAAAACCCCAAATTTTTATCTCAAAAAATTGAATAAATTGGGGATAATTCAGTCCAAACCTCCTGGAGGATTCACCTGGGACAGGTGAGACAAGGGAGGGACAGGTGGGGCAAAAAACCCCAAAAAACAGCAAAAAACCCCAAAATTTTATCCCAAAAATTGAATAAATTTGGGATAATTCAGTCCAAACCTCCTGGAGGATTCACCTGGGACAGGTGAGGCAGGGGAGATGGCGCCTCCCACATGCCCCTGCTGTGCCCAGGTGTGCCCAGGTGAGTGCCCAGGTGTGCCC